ACAATAGGGCCCCACAGACAGCAATCAGAATAATAACAGCCTTTTTTTGATGGTTTTTCTGAAGAAGGGGCCTGACCGAAAACGTCAGCTTTCCTGCTCCTCTGACGCTGCCTGGCCTACTGTGTTCCTCCAGCTCCAAACTGTTGTCTAATCTTGATGGTACAGGTTAGAGGCAGAGTGATGGCTAGAACACTGTGCTCTTTAAATGACAGCATGGGATCTTTATTGACAGTTTAAAGAAGTAGTTGAAACATTAGTTAAATAGCTCACATAAAGGACTGCACCTTCAGTGGTGCAGTCCTCCCTGTCAAACACTGCAATGAAGTGTCAACCGAGATTGAGAGTTTGTGTTCCAACGTGGGGGTTGAATCCACAACTTGCCACTAAGGTGGCAGTCACTCAAATGAGTCAAAGCAACAAAGTTCAGACCCAAAAACACCAGATGAATTCAGGAGAGGTGACTGCACTGCATGCACAGTGCCAACCTTTTTACTCCAAAAACCTCTTATTAAAAGAAAACTCATCTAATGGAAACCAGGAAACAATTGGCAATTGTCATGAAAAATCTGCCTGGTTCACTAAAGTCCTTTAAGGAAGAAAATCTGCTGTCCTCACCTGGTCTGGCCTGCATGCAACTCTAGACCCATAGCAATGTGGATGACTCTTAGCTGCTTTCTGAAATAGCTAGTAAGCCATTCAGTTGTCAATAATAACACTCAGCTATGGAAGTGAAAAAATTAAAAATTATGCCTCAGAGTCCTGGTCAACAGGTAGCAAATGCTGCAAGTGAACTTATGTGGATACCACTTGATGACTAAATTGGACTTCACTGCGAGGTTTTCCATAATCAGATGGTTTGTGACTCTCAAGACACACATTAGTGTTACAAATATAGAGTCGCCCCATAGGACAATCCTAATTCTTTTCCTTCAATATACCCACTAAAAAGTCAAGTGAATTAAATGATCAGTAATCCACATTTATCAAATAAGCTGCTTATATCAGGTTTAGCAGTTCAGCATATTTAGTACCTGTTGTTAGAGAGCCATTATTGTGGATTAAGCTTTCTGATCACTCAGTTAGACCTTCATCAAGATGGTTCAGAGCCCCAATAGCTTTCTAGTGCATCCATTTTTATAGAGTTCAATACAGAAGGTTAGTTTGCCAGCCAACTTTCATGTCGCCAACGTTCCCTGCTCATGCAGCTCAATCTTTAGTGTCTCTCACACTTGACCGGTTAGGCACTCTGAAGTTTAGCACTTCCCATCATCCCTGACATTTTTTTTTCAAATATAGACTTGAGCATGTGCTCATCTTCGAATTATTACCACCTTAGCAGGAATGCTAATGCCTAGCATCTCCCCTCTTTGCCAGCATTATGCTTCAAGCTTTTTACTGTATGCTTAAATCTGTCAATCCTCTATTCACCACTATTACTATTACTCTATCTTGTTTACTATTCCAAGCATTGCCCAATGAGAAACTGCTAAAAGAGTATATTTCCTGCAACCTGGTATCCCACATTAGGAGATGGAAAGAGAAATTCTTGAGATAAGATAAACAGTTAAAACAAAATTTCAGCTGGACAAGCAGCCCCAGTCCTAACCCACACTGAATAGTGTCAAGATTATTACCTTTAGTTTTTCTTCAGCTTCGCTGTTAGACAAACGACCTTGCTGCACTAATGCCCAAAACGTTGTGTTGTAGAGGTTATTAATATGACCTATTGATGGAAAACCACTGCTTAAAGCATTTAAACTGGAATATTATTTCAATACATTGTACAGTACAAGTATGCATAGGCACTAATTAAAGTACACCCCATCTTATGGCACAAAGCAGGCAATCTTTCAACAGAAAAGAAATTTGGAACAGTTTTCAAGTCTTCATATTATGTTCACGTGAACCATGAAAAATCAAAATTATCCAGTAAACAAATTCATAGTCAAACAGGATGGAAACAGACCCTTTGGTCCAACTCATCCACGCCAACCAAGTTTCCCAAACTAAACTAGTCCCATTTGACTGTGTTTGGCCCGTATCTCTCTAAATCTATCCTTTTCACATGCCTGACCAAATGTCTTTCAAATGTTGTAACTGTAACTGTATCCACTATATCCTCTGGCAGTTCATTCCACATAAGGACCACTCACTTTGTGAACAAGTTTCCCCTCAGGTCCTTTTTAAATCTTTCTCCTCATCTTCTAATATGCTCTCCAGTTTTGAACTCTCCAACCCTAGTCAAAAGACCCTTGCTATTCACCTTGTCTATGCCCCTCATGATTTTATAAACCTCTATCAGTCACCCTTCAACCTCCTATGCTCCAGTGAAACAAGTCCCAGCCTATCCAGCCTCTCCTCATAACTCAAACCCTCCAGTCCCAGTATTATGCTTGTAACTCTTTTCTGCAGCCTCTCCAATTTAATAGTATCCTTTCTACAGAAGAGTGATCACAACTATCCACAGTACTCCAAAAGTGACTTCACCAGCTTCCTGTACAACTACAACACGACATCCCAACTCCTATACTCAATGGTGTGAGCAATGAATGTAAGCTTGTCAAACACCTTCTTTACCACCCTGTCTACCTGTGACATTACTTTCAAAGGACTATGCACCTGAACCCCTAGGTCTCTGTTTGTCAACACTCCCCAGGGCCTGACCATTAACTGTATAAGTCCTGCCCTTGCTCATCTTACCAAAATACAACATTTTGTATTTATCCAAATTAAACTCCATCTGCCACTCCTTGGCCCACTGGCTCGACTGATCAAGATTCCTTTGTAATTTTGGATAACATTGTTCACTGTCCACTATACCATGAAGTTTGGTGTCATCCGCAAACTTACTAACCATGCTTCCTAAATTCTCATCCAAATAGTTTTTATAAAAGACAAACAACAGCGGACAATCACCAAACCCTGTGGAACACTTCTGGTCACAGGCCTCCAGTCCAAAATACAACCTTCCACCAACACCCTCTGTCCCTTGCTGTCCCCTGACTATGCTGAGATACCAATAACAATTGCAATACACTTCACTGATTTTGGGCAAGACTAGCAATGGGTTCCAAATGCTACAGCTGAAGCAGTCAAAAGCACATCTGAGTTATCTCAGGTAGACTTTATCTGACCATAGGATATAGATATATGCATACCCCTGGGAAGTTCCCATCCCGCTTTAAAGAAGAACAAACACGTACCAACGCTCATTTTAAAAATGGGCACTAGGCAGAGGTTTGAGGGGGCCATGATAACCAGTATCTCTGCAAAGAGGCAAAGCCTTTAAGAAAGGAAAGACAAATTGTAGAGTGGATCTACTACATCATTGAGTGAAAGCACAAGAAAAATGAATATAATCTTAATTGAATGCCATTTTTTTTTGAAAGGCTAAATATCTTACAGTCCGCCTGCCTCCAGCTTAGGTAGTCTCGCAGGTTCTGGTTGCTCGGATAAAGAATGACTCTTCCATCAAATCCAGGTGGAAATAAGAGGGCCTGATCTTTAAAGTAATCTTTCCAGTAAAAAACAAAGCTGGAAGAAAACTGAGAGACCACGTGGCTCATGAATTTGCTGTTGAAAGAGGGAAGAAAACAAAGTGAACTGTTAATCACAGGAAATCATGTTCCATTTATCAAGCTGCCCACTTTACATTACAGTGGTTCTACAAGAGTATAAACAGATTTGTCCTTTAGTTCGCAAAGCAAATATGCAAGCCAAAAAGGTAGCGTGTGGTCAGAATGTGGGACTTATTACAAGATGGACTAATAATGTGAATGACCTGGAGTAACCTAGGTGAGTGCACATGGGAGAAATGAATACAAGAATATGCAGATACAGTCACATGAAACAAGATGAGATAAGACCCTTGTAGACATAAAAATCAACACTGAACCGGTTAGTTCAAATGTCTTGCTTCACATGCCGTAAAGTTTATGTAGTGATGCCGTTTGGGATATGTAGAAGACTCTCACTGGGTCCTGGTTTATGTTAAGCTAGCTAATCCCAGTCAGGACAGTTTAATTTTTGGATTCCTTTTCTGTGGCAGGTATGAGAAATAAAAGTCTATACCTGGGAAGTAGTGCATTTGTCCAAAGGACAAGTGAACAAGCTGCCAGCATTTGCTGTCTCAAATAATATTGAGAAGCAGCTTCTTGAGTGATATCCCAGGGGGCAGCTATCACTGAAACCCATCACCGATTCAGTAACTGGCTGAAGGGGGAGAAAACAAAAGGAACCAATCAGATTTATTATTGATCCCCTATTTCTTCACTCCACCACCAACCTTGCCACCTTCAGCAAATAAACAAGCCACACAGAAGCCATTTAACCCTTCACTGTATACAATAGTTAATACAACCTGGTCATCTTATTTCAGTATGTGCTGTAGGACATCTCAAACATAAAGAAGGGACACACCTTCAGCTCATACTTGTGCCAGCATTCTGCAAAGTCATTCTGGTAGTGATACCTAGAGTTAAATGGGTAATATTATGAGGGCATATTGGATAGCTTAGGCTTCTATTCCCTTAAGTATAAAAAATTAAGGAAGCCTTATGATGGAATGGATAACACTGGGTTCAAGGCCACACCTGGACTTCTCTACCATGGAACATTCATTTATAACTGTACCAAACAGGTTGATAAGCCTGCAAGTCTTTCTATTATGCCATTAAGGTAGGTGATAAGAACAGGAGATTTTCCTGGTCAGCCACCCTCCAGAGGGCAATGGTAAATCACTGTAGCACTCTTCCACAAGCATGAACCAATTCAGTCGAAGCCCACATTGTTAAGACTCTGGTTAACTGAAAATTGCAGTTTTAAAAAAAAAATTCAGTTTCAAGCAATATTGTTCTCATACAACTTCAAAGAGGACTTCAGTAAACAAGTAACAATCATTTATTTTATGCATGCGCAGGACTGCCAGTCTTATCATCGAACTGTAGAATTCATGCTGATGGATTATAGAAACTTCCAATATTTATACAAAACATTACAACATATATATTACAATTCCCATACATCATTGTCCTGGGGTCTTACATTAACTGCTGTTTTCCTATAGTCTTTACAGGCATTCACCCTAGGCCAGTTCTATCTTGCTCACATACTTCTAGCTTGCCTTCATACACCCGAGATTCTCATTTGCTTTTACAATCCCTGAAAATTTAACCCTTAACTTAGACTGATTCAACCCCTTTGGAAATTAAGGGACACAGAACCAAGGCAAGTAGGTGGAATGAAGGTACACAGTAAGGGTCTAACTGAAGGCAGGAACAGACTCCTCTTTCCAATGCTCAGTACAGCCCAAGCTTTTAAATTAATTTTCAAGTAATACTTGCCCATTTACCTTCTTAAAATAATTATGGGATCTATTTGCTCGTTTCACCCCAGCCATCTTCAGTATTAAAATAAATGTATGTATTCATCTTTTAAACTCTTACAGTTTTCTGAATGATATTAAATTTATGTCTTCTAATTACTGACTTAGCAACTAGTAGAAAGAGTTTTCCTATTCATGTCAAAGATTTAATAATAACCTGCTTCAGATCTTATCCTTTCTTACTGTAATAGAAAGAGTTTCCATTCCTCCAGTCTTTCCTAGTAACTGTAAACTATTAAATTCATCTTTGCTTTCCCTGACACTTAGCTCACAATATATCTGAACTAAATAAAACCAGAAAAACTGATCCAGAGTAAAAGCCTTTATTTGTACACTGCACCTTGCTCTCCTTTTGAACCAGTTACTTTTCTTTTTAAAGACAAAGCTGTACTCATCACTTTGGCCATAGGCGATCACAATGTCATTCAGTTCTTCCATGACAGTTAAAGCACATCGTGTCATCAGACGGAGGGCCCGCTCATCGTTGGGTTTTCTGAAATCATGCAGATTTGCAAACCTGAAGTCAAGAAATAAGTTTAAGTAAGTGCTGTCCAACAGGTGAAAGTTGCAACCAGAAGCACGTTCATCATGCTGAACTTAGAAATCAAACACATTCAGCCAAGATACAAAGCTTCAACCTGACCTTACTTGACAAAAGGAGAAGTAATTTCCTCTAATTCAGCAACAAAAGAATCTTAAGATCACTCTAAGGAGTGTTCTGGACACAAGGATTAGAATTTTGTGGTTGGTTGCTCGCCTGCCAAGCTGGTTCGTTGTTTTTCTGCAGACGTTTCATTTCAACAGACTCCAGAGTTTAAATAACAGGTGGGAAAATACAACGGCGCTTCATCGGAGGCTGCACTGATGATGTTACCCAGCAGCGTAACGAAACGTCTGCGGAAAAACAATGAACCAGCTCGGCAGGCTAACCAACCGAGCTACAAATCTACTCTAAGACCTTAGAGGATTACAAGTTTGATAACATGCTAGGGGTCTGATTGCCATGGCAAATTGATTAAGGCAACAGACTATCATCTATTTGTATAACTGAATAGAGATTGGAGCGGAATACAGAAAGCCAATATTGATGTGTAATAGCTAAGGCATGTCAACTGAATTTTTTTTTTTTTTTTTTACAGGAAGTAACTAATGTAGCAGTCAAAGAAACGTCTACAGTTATTGTTCGTATGGAGTTCCACATTAAAAAAGTTAACCGAAATTAAAGCTTAATGACTCAATTATTCACTTCATTTATTAATGGCTTAGATAGCACATTAGAGAGCCTTATATCCAAGTTTTCTGATGTCACAAAGATTGGCAATGTAGTAATGAGTGTATGACGAAGTATAAAAATTATGTAGACATTTATAGAACAAATAAATGAACCCGTAACAGATTTTAATTCAGATAACTGGGAAGTTAATGATTTTGGACCAAAAAAAAGCAAAAGACGTCAACATTATTTACATATCAAAAAGCTAGCCAAAGTCAATTCCAAGAGCTTTAGTATTCAAGAACACAGATCATGTACAAAATATAATTTTAGAAAACTTATAGAATGATAGCCTTTATAATAAGAGGCACAGAATAAAGAGAAGTTTTCTTACAGTCATACAAAACTCATGTTAGACCACATCTGAAATAACGTGCACTGCTCTCCCCAAGCCAAAAATAGCTTAGCCTGGGAAGGAGCACAGCAGATTCAGAAGAACATTACCAGGACTTCAATGGTGACATTAGGAGCACAGATGAACACAGAAGATTAAGAAATTAGTTAATTTGAGGTGTATAAACATTTAGAAGAAAAGCATTCCTACTGATGGGAGTCTAGGACAGGGACACAAACATAAAAAAGACATTTAAGAGAAAGATCAAGAAGCACCAAGGTAAAATGGTGGTAGAAAGGATAACAGGATTCACTGGATTGCTTTTTGAAAGGGTTGGTACAGTCTTGATGTGCTGAATGGCTTCCTTGTGTGTTGTAACATTCTATATGTTGGAAGAAAATTGTGCTAGTTCAATTAATAATTTTAAAACAAAGATTTTGGTAGACAAGGCCATTTATGGATTTATAGTGACAATCAGTGAAATGATTTAAGATACAGACCATTCGCTACATAATGAAGTGATGGACAGGATCAAGGGGCTAAATGGCCTATCTTTTTCTAATGCTCATGGACCAGGAGCCAAAGAGATCTGCAAATGTGAGTGATGATTTACTGATACTTTGTAAGAGTTAAAATACAGGCAGAGACTTTACAAAAATGTTAATTTTAGGGGACTTCATGAAAACAGCAACATGCAGTACACATCTCTGCTTTCCACTCACTTGTGAAAATTTCGGCCATCCAGTCGAACTACAACCCAGCAATTTTGTAGGCAGGTATCATCAGCTTCAAACTGGCGAACATATTCAAATTTAGTTTTAGCCATAGTTTTGTGACTTTGAGCATGCACGTGTAGCATCTCACAAAGAAATCCTTGACTCGTTGCCCTACTGCATTTTGAAAAACCAACTGTAAGGGCAGCTTTTGATAGTTGATTCAAATATGTCCGATATAGCATTGGGCAGCCTGCAAAAGTAGAAGACGCTAATGATTATCATTGACAAATTCCAGGCAGCACAAAAATTTATGGCACTATTATTTTAATATCAACTGTTTTTCAAGTCAGTCTCAAACACAGTCTATGTTTATAGAATATTAAAGTATGAACTAAACACCAAAGTCATTCTGGTTAGACTACTGTCAGTAATTCATCAACACACTGGATATGGGATGTCTGTCTAGACTAACATACCCTCTGAGCTGCATGACCACTTATTCTAACCCAGAAGATTTGATGACGGATAGTCATAAGTCAGCCTCTAAGTTGCTGCACAAACCACAATTCCAGTCAGCACACGAAGTGAAGGCCTTTCATAGAAAGATGTTGGAGGAAACATTACTCTAGATCGATAATAAAACAAAGATGAGGAAGCTGGAGACCTGAAACAAAGACAGAAATTTCTGGTGAAACTCTGGGGAGAAAACAGAATTTATGTTTCAAGTCTAGTAAAATTCTTCACAAGAACTGATGGCAGCTGGGAAAAAAGTGGTATTTGGACTTGAAACGTTAACTCTGCTTTCTCCCCAGAGTTGCTTCCAGACCCGCCGAGTTTCACCAGCAACTTCTGTCTTTGTATCAGGTCTCCAGCCTCCTCATCTTTGTTTTATTATCGATCTAGAGTAATGTTTCTTCCAACATCTTTCTGTGAATGGAAAAAGTGGTATTTGGACTTGAAACGTTAACTCTGCTTTCTCCCCAGTGCTGCTGCCATACCTGCTGAGTTTTGACAGTAATTTCTGTTTTGCTCTAGATTTATAATGTGCCTTGATATCTGATCATGGTGTACTGGGGCAGCACTGTAACTCAATGATTAGCACTGCTGCCTCAGAGCACCAGGGACCTTGGGTTCAATTCCACCCTCAGACGACCGACTGTGTGGAGTTTGCACATTCTCCCCATAGGTTTCCTCCACGAGACCAAAGATATGCAGGTTAGGTGGATCAGTGATGCTAACTTGCTCATAACGTCCAGGGATATGTGGGCTAGGTGGATTAGCCATGGGAAATACACAGTTACAGGGATAGGATGGGAGGGGTGGGTCTGGTTGGGATGCTCTTTGGAAGGGCGGTGTGGACTTGATGGGCCAAATGGCCTGCTTCCATACTATAGGGATTCTATGATTCTACAAGTTTTCTTTCCCTATTTTCTTCTGCTTTTCTCACCCAATCCTGTCTCAACCCTCCACTCTCATGCTGTACTTTCTAATGCAAGTAGACAAAAGCAAGCATGAGCAAGAACAGTGGCCAGTAGCAGAACTGGTGATAGATTAACATCAGTTTTTATATGCAAAGCTATGAGCAGTCTCTAATGGCAACTAAACCCACTGCACCTGGTATTCCCAGGCAGTCTCCCATTCAAGTGCTAACCAGGTCTGAGTCTGCTCAGCTTCCCGAGATCAGATGATATCCTGACTAGTATGACCATAGGTGTTTACTAGCTAGCTATTACTTTAGTTAAACTGATGCCACACTGTTTCCTTTCTACTTAAGAATTCATAGATCACACTAGTTTACATTGTTATTTTTCTTTCATTATCTTACCCTCCTTCAGTATTCTGCTTCCCACTTGAACTACAAGCTCTGCATTTCTAAAAGTAGTCAGGCCTGTACAAACAGACATTTTCCCCCATCCCCTTAGAAAAGTCAATTACAAAAATTACACTTCCTGACAGTCTAGCTATCTTCACATTATAACTAGTAAAAAAATTCACTTTAAAACTGCAGATGGCCGTCAAATTACTAAGATGGTTTAGACGTGATGAGACAAGAACCACAGATATGTGGGGTACCAGGGCAAAAGCCACACCCTGTGTCTATTTAGATCTCTCTATGTAATAATCTTGTAAAAGAAAGAACATCAAACTCTCCAACTACTCAGAAGTGGATGCTTGCTTAGCTTCTTCCCAGGGACAAAGCCTTCGTTCAGTATGTGGCAGAGACAACACCCATTTCACAGTAGCCAGCTACTCAACTGGTACTCCCACAAGATGGGGCATGGTTGCCCACTGCAGATTTTATGTGCGACTGTCATTGAATTCAACTTCCTGCAGCAGTGTGTGCCTAACTCATGGCAGCACCATTGCGTAGCTGGGAAGAAGATGAACAGCTAGCAAAGGAAAATGCTGCGATCCGGAATAGTGACTAATAGAGGTCTCAACACTTGATGGGTGGGAGTATATCTGAAACCTGGTGGTGTCTCATTTCTTGGGCAAATCAGTATCACTTTTTTTTGCAGAGGCACTAGCAGGAAGAACCTTAAACTGAGGACTACATCCAACTATTGAAATAGAACGTTTTCTTTTAAATTTGTTCCCTGGACGAGACCACTGCTGATTTTGTTCATTCCTTATTTTGTCCCAAGATAGTGGTTGTGAGCTGCTGCCTTAAACCACAGCAGGCAACATGGTACTGGTAGAACCATGGTGCTGTTGAAAAGAGATCCAGGAATTTGATATAATTACAGGTCAGGTCAGTGTGTGGCTCAGTGGTCGTGAGTTAGAAATGGTGGTGTTGCAGATTGTGGTGCTCCCATGACATAGAAGGCCAAGGGCAATGGATGCATGTGTTTTGGGAGATGGTATCAATGGAAGGCAAATTGCTCCACCTTGTAGATGGTACACTGCTGTCAGCTGGCACCAGTTGACGGGACAGTGAATATATAGGCAGATGGCGCGAATGGCAGTCAGCTTCTTCAGTGTTATTGCAGCTACACCCATTCAGGCAAATGGAGAGTATTCCATCGTAAGCTTGAATTATGCCTCTCAGGTAACAAACAGTCTCGTGGAAAATCAGGTGATAGTTAGATTTTACAGGATCACCAGACTCTTGACATGCTCCTATAGCTACAGTGATAACTTTCATAGTTGGCAGAGTCCCGTTTTAATGGTTCCCACCCCCACTGATGTTAAAAGCAGGGAAGTCAGCAACAGTAACGATATTGAATGTCATGGGGAAATATTTAGAATCTCCTTGTTGGAGATTGTAATCACCTGGTACAAATGTTATTTGCCACTATCAGTTCAAGACCGAGGCTCTCATAAACACAGCTTCTTCAGTATGAGTTGTGTAATCATCAGTGAACATTCCCATTTCTAAACTCACGATGAAAGACAGGGTAAATGATGAAGCAGCTGAAGATAGTCACACATGGGATAGTAGTCTGAGGAACTAGGGCTCTTCTGGCACAGTTGTAGTGTCCCCATTGCTGGGAAAAGTCCAATCTGCCCCAAGGATATGTCACAATATATCTGAACAGGTCAATTAGAAACATCTACCCGAAGGAAATTGGGCTCTTTTGGTGCAGTGGTAGTGTCCCTATTTCAGAAGGCCATGTTCAAGTCCCACCTGCTCCACAGGTGTATCATAACATTTCTAAATAGGTTGATTAAAGAACATGACGACTCTTTAAGCCATATTTTGGTCAGCATGAAATGGATCAAACTGGCAGACAGGCATCTGAGATGCTAGGGATCATAGGGAGGTACCAAGACAATTATCCATTCAGCACCACTGGACAAAGACTGCATAGTTAATGAGAGAGTAGAGCATAAAAATCTAAAAAGGAAGGATATTAAAATATCAGGGAACGAAAAGAGACTGGGGCTGAAGGTAGCTTCTAGTATTGTGATTAAGTGTTACAGGACATGTCATGTGACTGGCTATTTCACCCAACACTTGCCATTCTGAAGACCAATATTACCCACCCTGTGATTTACTACATTTCAAAGCTTCCAGATGGTACAAATTTGGGAAATATTGCCCAGCAGACCCAAGTTCAGGTCATCAATAGAAAACAAAAATCAGTAATCACCACACTGAAATAAACAGCCATTCACCATTACTCCATACTGCCGGTCCCTTAGCCTGTTTTGTATCCAAGTAACTACAATCACCTGGCTTTCAATTTGCTAACAAGTATATCACATTTTACTTTGTCAAATGTCATTGTTAAGACCATATACTCACACCAATTGCACTAACCTCAGCAACAAGCCATTACTTCAAACTTAATCAAGTTGGTAAACAAGATTTTCCTTTACAAATTCATGCAGTCTTTCAATTATTAGCTCATACTTTTGCAAATGCCAATTTATATTGCCCTGAATTGTTTTTAAAAGATTCCCCAATGCTGACGTCAATTTGGCTATTCTGTAATTACCAGTTTTCTCTCCCTCCCATTTCTTTTTAAAGAGAATCGCTACAGGAAGCTACTTAGCCCAGCTTGTCTGCATTAGTTCACTGAACAAACATCCTACTTTGTGCCATTCTCCTGCCTGCTCTCTAACCCTATTCCTAGTCAGTTCAGTCTTTCCTTTGAACGCCTTTACTAAATGTGCCTCCAACAAATTCACAGGAAGTGCATTCCAGATCCTGACCACTATGTGAAAAGATGTTTTTCTGACATTGCTTTCCATCCTTGTTATCCAAGAAAGAATGGAATACTGTAGCGGAGCCTCTGCAACTTCCGCCCTTATGTCCATCAATAAGTTAGTATGCAAGCTTTCCAGGCTGGGTGACTTTAACTGCTTTGAAGGCTAGCTGGATTTACTCACTTCTTTGGGGCAATAATTGCTGTTTTTTTTAAAAAAAGTTGTTGCATTGTTTTTGGAACTTTATAACAAAAAAAATCAAGAACAAAGATACCTTAAAAGGGAGGAAGAAGTGTGTTTCAAGAAAGCGACGACATGGCAAGTTCAGAAACTGAGAAATTGCATAAGGCTCAGAGATTTGGTTTTTATGAAGCAGCAAACAAGTGTAGTTTCACAGCTGATATGGAAGGTCACAGCGCTGCAGGGGTTTAATTGATTTCAGGAAAATAAAAATCCCTGCCTGAAACTACAGAAGTGGACAACCTTTGGTTTTATTGAGCCTGATCAGCCAAGTTTTTTTTTAAAACATATTGTTGCATTTTGGGGAGGCAAATCAGGGCAGGACTTATACACTTAATGATAGGATCTTGGCGCATCTTGCCAAACAAAGAGGCCTTGGGCTACGGATTCATTGTTCCTTGAAGGTAGACAGGGTAGTGAAGAAGGCATTTGGTATTCGTGCCTTTATTGGTCAGTGCATTGAGTACAGGAGTTGGAATGTCATGTTGCAGCAGTCCAGGACATTGGTTCGGCCACTTTCAGAATACCGCATTCAATTCCAGTCTCCCTGCTATAGGAAAGATGTTGTTAAACTTGAAAGGGTGCAGAAAACATTCACAAGGATGTTGTTGGGGTGAGAGGGTTTGAGCAATAGGGAGAATATTTTCCCTGGAGTGTCAGAGACTAACGGGTGACCTTAGAGGTTTATAAAATCATGAGGGGTATGGAGAGGGTGAATTTCCAAGGTCTTTTTCCCAAAGTACAGCAGTCCAAAATTAGAGGGCATAGGTTTAAGATGAGAAGGCAAAGATATAAAAAGGACCTATGGGGTAACTTTTTCACACAGAGGGTGGTGCATGTGTGGAACAAGCTGCCAGAGGAAGTAGTGGAGGCAGGTACAAATACAACATTAAAAGCGCATCTGGATAGGTACATGAATAGAAAGGGGTTAAAGGGATATGGGACAAATGGGACTAGATTATTTTAAGATATCTGGTCGGTCTGGACCAAAGGGTCTTTTTCTGTGCTGTACAACTCTATACATCTGCAATAGATCAGGGAGGGAAGAGAGGTAACTGAGCACCGTGCTTCAGGTGGCAGTCACATATTTTAGACTAATTGCATCAATTTGGTCTGTGGTCAGGTACAGACTGCAAGTGGGGCAGGTTCAGAATTTACCTTTGAAGAAGCCTCAGCCAGAGCCCTTGTCCAATAGGTCCAGGGTTCTTGGACGAGGGCATACAGACTGCAGAGGGGACAAGCAAACTGACCATAGCACTATGGTCCACACTACCATTCAAGCAGGAAGAGAAAAGTGTAGTAAATTAGTAATAGCTGATAGCATAGTTAGGGGAATATATAGTGTTGTCTGTAGCAACGACAGTGTTCTGAAGGCTGTGTTGTCTAACTGGTACCAAAGTTCAGAACGTCTCCTCTGGGCTGCAGAGGAACTTAGCATGAAAGGAGCAGGACCCAGTTTTTATGGTCCACATAGGTACAACACAGGCAGCACTAGGAAAGAAGTTCTGCTGAAGGATTATGAGCACCTCAAGGCCTAGCTAAAATGCTGAACCTTAAATGCAATAACTTCCACTTTATTATTGGAGCCACATGCAAACAGGTATAGGGGTAAGTAAGATTAGAGGTAAATGCGTGGCTTAAAGACTGGTATGGGAGAAATGGGTTCCAATCTGTGGGACACTGGCATCAGTACTGGGGAAAGAATGATAATTGGACTTCAGAATTTACGTTGAGGACAAATTATGCAAATTAGGTCTGTTTCCTCCAGAATTTAGAGGGTTAAGGAGTGATCTGTTTGAAGTCTTCAAGATATTAACAAGAAAAGATATGGTAGATAAATTATTTCCACTGATTGGGTATTCTAGAATGAGGGGGCAGAGTCTGAAAACTGGGGACAGACCATTCAGAAAGGATGTTAGGAAGCACTTCATACAAATGGTGGTAGGCATTTGGAACGCTTCCACAAATGGCAGTGGATGCAGGATCAATTGAGAGCACTTAATTTCTGTTAAGCAAAGTCTTTGAGGGCAATGGACCAAAGGCAGGTATATGGAGTTAGGACACGGATCAGCTATGATCATATTAAATGTTAGAACAGGCTCAAGGGGATGAATGGCCTAATTCTGTTGTTAATTTTGGCTTTTATTGCAAAGAATTGCAAGTTTAAAAGTAGGAAAGTCTTCTTCCAACCATGCAGGGTGTTTGAGAGGTCATACCTGCAGCAGTATAAAGTTTTGATTCCCATGTTTAAGGATATACTATAATTGGAGTTAGTTCAAGAGATTCGACGGGCTGATTCCTGGGATGAAGCAGTTGACTCATCAAGAATAACTCGTTCAAGCCTTTTATTTATTTTGGTTTAGAAGAATGAAGGGTGATCTTACTGAAACATGCAAGTTTCTGAAGGGGCTTGCAGGGCTGATGTTCAGAAGATGTTTCCATTTGTGAGGAATCTTGAACTAGCAGGCACAGTTGCAAAATAAAGGGACACATTTAAAATAGGGATTCAAAGGAATTTTGTCTCCAAGGTAGCAGTGAACATTTGGAAATCTCTCCTACAGAGGTCCATGGAGGTTAGAGCACAGAAAGTGTTTAAGCAGTAGAGGATGGATTTTAGAAACAGGAGTTAAGCAAAACGCTCCCTCTCAGTTTTGCAGAGATGCAGCAATTCCGAGGGTCTGTAGGCAGCAATCGACAAGCCAAGGTTACTCGCAGCATTAGTTTCCAGTTCCAGAACTCGCTGTCAAGCATGGAACTCGGCCGTCTGCACAGCCCAAAACGAAAAATTGCAGATAGTAGGAACTGCAGATGCTGGAGAATCCGAGACAACAAGGTGCAAGGCTGGATGAACACAGCAGGCCAAGCAGCATCATAGGAGCAGAGAGGCTGACGTTTCGGGCCTAGACCCTTCATCAGAAAAGGGGGAGGGG